TTGAAGATTGTTGTCGCTGGGAAATTCACTTATTTGAACAAATTTACTTGAACTTTTCATTCCGGTGAGCAAAAAAGATCTTAAACGTTTATATAGATATAACTGAAAAATAAGTTGGAAAAAAACACGAAAATATATATTATAACTAAGCATAAAATAAAGGTAAAATTTTAGTGGAAACAATAGACTTGTGTAAACACTTAACAGACCGGCTATTTAGATATAAACCGAACAAAAACATGAACAACAACGCTCCACCCCCAAACCCAAAAACCACTTGAAACGTAAACGAATTGAGTGGACACGATTAAAAGAACAGCACTGAGGTCCAAAAACCCTGAAAACACTTTTTTTTTGCATAGCTCAGCATAGTACCTAAAGATGTGCAAAATATAATTAAGAAATATACGCAGAAGTAAATCGAAAATCGTAATTCTTACCCGATATTAGTGAAAAGCGTTGCAAACACTTTTTTTAATTTTGGGTCAATTGTACAATAAGAATAATTATTCTGAAAGCGAAGTTTTTGGTTGGACCTACATAAAATAGGACATTAATCTCAAAAAAAAAAAATATTTCCAGCATCGTCATGTCAAAAAACCTCAGTGGAGTCCCTTTAATATTAGCAGTTTATGATTTGTTTGTTATTGTTTAAGAAAACAATTCAAAAAGTACATTTGTGTTATAATTCAAAAGAAATCTAAATTATATTCCCTATATAGCAAGATCATGATTTTTCAATTGAACTTATTGACTTTAATTCATTACAAAAATGTTTTTGTCTCCGCCGAGACGCAAACAGAATTATAAAAAACCAGTCCTCGGACCAACCGTAACTTTTAATGCGTTCTAATCAGTTGCAAAACAATAAAAACCCTATCCTTTCAAGGTAAATTAGATCACAGAAAGTCAAAGTTTATCTCTCTAATTTTACGACTCACTGACAATGCAATAATTATAACTATCCCGCGATTTCAATACAAGGAAATAATTCGCTTTCATTTTAAACAATAATTTTGTCATTTATCTCATTCAATGGTTGATAACAATACATTGCTTTAATCTATAGTGCCATATGAAATAACCCCACAATTGGGAGAGTATATTTTAATTGTATCATATACTAAATCAATAATTACACACAATACCTTGATCAATTTGAATTGTTTTTATATTGACTGGATATAGAATGGAATTTAAATGCCAATTTTTGCAGTGAGAGTCAATTATAAGAGGCCCTTCCTTAGTTTTCATGGAATCACGTTAAAGGGAGTCCGTTGAAATCTTTTTGCCATGACGGGACTGGAAATAATTTTACGAAAGAAATATTTGATGTAGGTCCAGACAACTAACTTGTGTGCAAACTTTCAGTTTTTACCCTGTTTCCAGAATAATTATTCTGCTTGCGAAAAATGACCTACGTCCCCTCGTACAAATCAGATAGTCTCGTGATTCGATGCTCTTTCTATTACTTAGATAACCATGTAAAACAGATCATACGACTTCTTTCTTCAGAGAAAGAGTTTTGTATCATTATTAATACTTCCAAGAATTACAGGTAGAATTTCAACCAATATAGATATACACATGTATATTAAAAAACGCCATTAATAGGAATTGATACGAAAAAATAACGCACACAAAAAATAAAATAAGTATCCAAATTATCAAAGTCAAATAAAAATAAGAATCTATTTTATTCATATCAAATCAAATCGTTTGATGTTACAACACCTAAAAACATTCTATATTGACTGGGAAAAAATGACATCTACATCAGTAAACCGCTTTGGATGAAGGAAAAAAAGTGAGAAAAGAGGTCAAATCATTTATTTTCCATTAAATGTACGTAATTGAAACAACTGGTTATAGTTTTGTACACTTGTCTGTTGTTGTTTTTTCTACCTGAAGAATGAAGTACCACTTGAATGTCTTCAACCATCTAATGACTTGGATTCTATCTATAAAGTGAATCAATGTGAAAACAATCAGCTTCCATCCTAATGAAAGAAAATAATTAAGGATTATATTATTTTGTTGGCTGCATTTTAACCCTTCACTATGGGAAACGAAAGGGAATGAAGTCTTTAGCATGTATATACTGAAGCCAGGCCAGCATGCACATCTGTGTATATACTGGAGCCAGGTCAGCCTGCAAGTCTGTGTATATACTGGAGCCAGTCCAACCTGCACATCTGTGTATATACTGCAGCCAGGTCAGCCTGTACATCTGTGTATATACTGGAGCCAGGGCAGCCTGCACATCCGTGTATATACTGGAGCCAGACCAGTCTGCACATCTGTGTAAATACTAGAGCCAGCCCAGGCTGCACATCTGTGTTTATACTGGAGCAAGCCCAGCCTGCACATATGTGTACATATATAATGGAGCCAGGTCAGCCTGCACATCTGTGCATATACTGGAGCCAGGCCAGTCTGTGCATGTGTATATACTGGAGCCAGCCCAGCCTGAACATCTGTGTATATACTGGAGCGAGCCCATCCTGCATATCAGTGTATATATAAGAGCAAGGCCAGCCTGCACATCTGTGTATACTAGAGCCATGCCAGCCTGCTGTGTATATACTGGAGCCAGACCAGCCTGCACATGTATAGTATAATGGAGCCAGGCCAGCCTGCAAATCTGTGTATATACTGGAGCCAGCCCAGCCTGCACATCTGTGTATATACTGGAGCCAGCCCAGCCTGCACATCTGTGTATATACTGGAGCCAGGCCAGCCTGCACATATACCGGAGCCAGGCCAGCCTGCACATAAACTGGAGCCAGGCCAGCCTGCAAATCTGTGTATATACTGGAGCCAGCCCAGCCTGCACATCTGTGTATATACTGGAGCCATGCCAGCCTGCACATATACCGGAGCCTGGCCAGCCTGCACATAAACTGGAGCCAGGCCAGCCTGCAAATCTGTGTATATACTGGAGCCAGCCCAGCCTGCACATCTGTGTATATACTGGAGCCAGGCCAGTCTGCACATCTGTTCAGTCTCACAAGGATCTATATTGTTAGTAGCTGCAATTTTTGTTTTTTAATATATAACTTTAAACTGAACTTGTGTGCAGGCTGGCCTGACGCTACACTGATTGCAAATGCTAATTACATAGAGTCCCAGCAGGTTGACATAGCATTTGTGTAAGTCTGGATCAGTTTTGAAACAGTAAAATTTTTGTCGGAGGTGTGCCTGGAAACTTGTGAAATTGAAAAGGATCATAGCAACACTTGTTTGGTCCTTATAATAATTGTATTTCTCCAGAAAGGCCTACGTTTGTGAAGACAATAGTTTTATAATATCCCTGGCTTTAAATTAAGCGCAATAGTTTTGGTTTTTTAAGCTTAAATTTGGCCCCGAACACATGTATCCCTAACCTATTACCAATTGCTGTCTTTGGAAATAACATTGGCGTAAAATGACTAACAAATCTATCTGTCATCGCAGTCATTTACACTGGCCCTACAAAAGTTATTATTACCTAACTAGTCGATATCAAAGCCCCTTAATCATAATTATGTCAACCCCGATCATAAAATCCCTTTTTATGGTATTCAAATGAAATATGGCAAATATTTAGCAAAAACAATTTTTCCATGACTCATGAAAAAAACAACACACAACAAAAATCGCGGATTTTCAGTTTTATCTGGTCAAAACAAGAACCTCAATGTAATCCCAGATGACAATAGCTTTTATTTAACAATACCAAATTCTAATCCATTGTCTACATTTGTGAGGTATCAAAATATCCTTGAGAGAGTATCACATTATATCACTGTATTGTTTTAATTCCCATTTTAATACCGTATGTACGGCTTTTAAACTTAATTTTCGTCAATTATATAGATAGTTAATTTCTATTATTGTTAACACGAAGTATGCTAATTGGACAAAACCAGTGTATGAAACTGTATTAGAAGACTATAGGTCAACAATTAAAACTTACATTTGAAACGTAAGTAGGGATTTAATTGGAAAAAACTCCAAAAATCTTCTATGATTCATGTATATATACTTTGGCTTAATTTTCGTTTTATCTTATCAAAATAATTTCCTTAATTTAAATATCTTTAAAAAAATGAATCATCACTTTCAAGCAGGTTGAAAAAAAAAATGTTAAAAGTTTTTTTTTTAACTTCTTGATTTTAAACAAAGTAATCAAAAATTATAACATGTCCATTTCAGAAATATGAGTCACCAAGAGTTTTCTTTATGAACTCATCTTGTTACAATTATCAAATATTTATGAATTTCAAATATTGGGAAATTTCAAAATTTAATTTTTGGGTGTACATGAAGTTTAAAATATTGAGTCAGTTACTCCATCTACTCTATGTCAAATATTCATCAACTGCAGGAAAATATGACAAAAAAAAATTCTGCATAGTTTATATAATAATTTTGTATTTTATAAAATAATGTTTTACTAACCATGTTGAAATTACAAAGTTGGATCAAAAATGCAAATCTCATATTTTGACCAAAATGAAATGCAGGATAAAATTAATGTTTTTGACAGAACATCAACATCTGATTGAAAGACCTACTAAGTTTGACACAAATTGAAATCACTTTTTTGACCAAATTGAAAAAAAAAATTTCAATTAAATAAAATAAAACTTATTTTGACAGAATAAAAATTACTAAGTTTGACTGAAACCACAGTGATAAAAAAAAACATTTTGGTCAGGAAAAGTCTTTTCCTGACCAAAATGTTTTTTTTTATTATGAGCAGAATAAAATAACCAAAGTTTGGCCAAAATTGAATGTACTTAATACAGGTATTTTTTACCAAAATGGAAAATTCTTCATAATTTGACCATTTAAATGGAATGCACTTAACATTTGACCAAAAAACTTTTATTTTAACCAACAGAAAATGAAATTGCATGTATTAAAATGAAATTCATTTGTTCCACCCAATATTAAATTGCTAAATTTTGACCAAAATAGAAACAAAAGTATTTTTTTTTTAATATTTATTTTCATTTTTTTTTAACATTTAATTTTGCCATCAAGAAACTTCTGCACTCTTTGAAGGTTTTAATGTCAGTTCATTAATATCGTGTGAAACAGATGGTCCAGTACCATCAGACGTCACTTCAAACTGTTGTGATGCCGAGAATAGAGTATCAAGCTCGCCAATCACCTCCAGTAAACGCTTTGTGTACATCACTTCATGATCCACCGTGTCGCGTAATTTGTGTAACTCTGTGTCCAACACAGAGGACGTCCCTATCTGAGAGTAGTATATATCTGTAAAAAAACAAAAAGAAAACTATATTAGAGCTGATATTTATTTAGTCCAAAGCATATCAACTACTGTGAAGTCATTTATTTTCGTGGACATGAAATTTTGTGGGTTTTTTTTTTAACAAAGAACATTTTCGTGGGTATTTAAATTCGTGGACAAATTATTTTTTTCAAAAAAAAAGTTATAATGTAAATAATGTGATGCAAAATAATCTTAGAGCAGACAAAATGAAATTTCGTTGGATCTTAAATTCGTGGATTGACCTATCCATGAAAACCACGAAAAAATTAGTGCCCCACAAATAATAATGATTTTGCAGTATATTACAATATCCAATGATACATTGTACATCAATATATCAAGTATTATTTCATTATCTATATTTTACTTACATATGTTTTTATAATTTCATTATAACTTTGAATTCTTTTATGTGAGGATAGCTTGCTTACAGAACATGGTGGTTCTTACTTTAATGTTTTTTATTTTTTGGTTTAACCTTGCACCAACATAGTATAGGTCATATGGCAACTTTCCAGATTTACTGGTGGAGGAAGACCTCAGGTGCCCCTTCCTAGCATTATATCAGGCAACAACTAGCACCCGAGAAGAATCACCGACGTTCCGTAAGCTAGCTGGATAGTTTCTTCACATGAAAGAATCCAAAGTCCCAGTTGGGATTTGAAACCAAAGCTGTCAGGGGCAAGTGGTTTGAAGTCAACAACCTTAACCACTCAGCAATGGACACCCCTTACTCAGATGCCTGTTCATGTTTGAAATCATGCATTAAGGGGCACTCGAGGTCTCCCTCAATATAATAATTCTGCTTATCTATGTTTCAGATTGAAAATACGATTTGATTTAAACCACTTTATTATTCACAAAAGTCTACAATTTCAGATGTACATTTAGACACAAATTACACGCGAGTGTCTGAAATGATTTTAGTATTGAATAATTGATGACACCGACACATGTAAGCCTCTTGTTCTACTTTATGCGATCCAAGTTATTAAAGACACTTCCTTTCCCATATAATAGCCTCATAATTATATGAAATTATATATTTATAAACCTTTCTACGATTTGAATTTTCACTGGTATAAAGTATCAAGCCTACAACAAATACTTCTAAATCGGCGAAACGGATGAACGCATTTATCCTTCAGTATGGTGATCTTCTATTGTTTCGAATTAGGAACTATCCTTTGCTGCTGACAACTTTGTGTAATAAACATCCTTTGCTTTGACTTTAAAATTCATTCATTACTAATATTACTTGACTTTTGTGTAATAAATTTGCCTGTTTTGAATTTAGAACTATTTTAGGTGAATTTGTGTAATAATAAATAATATTTTTTGGGGCTTTAAATTTAGAACTATCCTTTGCTGTTTAAACTGAATTTGTACGATATAATTGCCCTGCTTTTAATTTATTAATTAATTCAACTGAATGTGTGTAATAAAATACCCTGGTTTGAATATAGAACTATCCTTTGCCAATTGTTATCATATTGCCCTGGTTTCCATTTCGAATTACCCTTTGCTGATTTAAATGTTATAAAATTTGCCCTGCATTTAATGTAGAGCTATCCTTTTCTCTTTTAATTGAATTTGTGGAGAAAAAAAATTGCCCTGCTTTGTAATAAGAATTATTTTTGCTGATTTAACTGAATTTGTATAAATTTATTGCCCTGTTTTGAATTTAGAAGTACACTTTGCAGATTTCGCTGAAGTTGTGTACTAAGAATTGCCCCGCTTTTTTTATATAGAAATTTATTTTTCAGATTTAATGAATTTGTGTTACAAAATTGCCCTGTTTTTATTTTAGAACTGCCCATTTGTTAATTTAACTGTGTAATAAACTTGACCTGCCCATGTAAACAATACCGACCACGATCATCGTCTGCACTGTTTACAATTCAGTCAATTCATTTAAAAAAAAAAAAATTCCCTAAAAATGATAAATGACTTTGTCCAGATTGAAAGATGGACAAGTCCATTTAAGACATTGAGGGTGGCAAAGGTTGACAAAATTTAACAAGAGGGCCATGATGGCCCTAAATTGTTCACCTAAGTCGGAAAACTTGTTTATTTGGGTCTTTTAAAATAAGTTTTTGTTTTGTTTTTACTATATGCATATAAGGAAAATCAATGACGCCCTGGGCGGGCCAATTTTGACCCCAGGTTTTTATTTGAAAAAAACTTGGTAGACATCCACTTGAAGATATTTCATGCCAAATATCTAAGCTCTAGCTCTTTCATTTTTTTACAAGAAGATTTTATAAGATTTTTCTTCTGGTTGCCATGGCAACAAGAGTTTGGCATGGAATTAAATTCTTCGAAGAATTTCTAAAGGTGACCACCAAAGGCACATTCCTGTGAAGTTTGAATGAAATTGGCTAAATGGTTTACGAGGAGATGTCGTTTAAAGTAAAAGTTTACAGACGGACAAACGCCAGGCAAATTGTGATCACAAAAGCTCACCTTGTCACTTTGTGATAGATGAGATAAAATTGTACGTGTGCTGGTGTCTGATGTGGAATAGGCCTGTTAAATTCACATGTTCATAAAGAGATGAGAAGATTAGAACTTACCTAATATCAAGTTAGCTATGTCAACCAGAGTTGCTGTAAATCTGGGATTGGAGATATTCCTAAAACAAAATACAAATTTCATTTACATTACAATAATACCATTACAAAATAACTTTATCGCTACTAGAGTAATATCTCCCCAGTAGTAGATTAATCATTTTTCTTTTTGTATCTTTGCTATGCCAATGTTGAAAACGAATATCACTATATTACAATAGTTGTATTCGAATTTAATTCGTAGCTTTGAAGAATTTTGAAATGGTTATATGGCCTAGAGGTGAAGGTTATATAACCCCCAAGTTATATGGCCTGATTATAAGGGTATACAGCACACAAATGTTTAGTTAACAACTTATAAAGATCTAGTTATGAATATTTTTAATAATATTAGCTGTAAAGTTTTTCAAAACAATTACAAAGTTTAAAGCTGACCACTTGGCTAGCACTTATATAAATGAAATTATACACATTTAAAAACTTTTTCCACTTACTTTTGTAAAAAGATAAATAAACTTTTCAGTGAGGAACCTTCTCTCCCAGCTAGCGCGGCTTTAATTCCGCCTCTACGTATAAGTTCTTGCATGACAGATACCGTAACAGCTGGTGTTAGTCTCGTCACTTTTCTCTGCAAAAACAAACAACCAAGTTTCATGCCCCATTTTATCAACCTTAATATTTAACGTTTAACCAGTATTTAATACACATGGAAGCTTTAAATGACGATTTGACATGAAGCACGCAATAATAATTATTTCAAAAGCTTAAGGTTTGGATCTGGAGTTTTAGTGCAAAAAAAATCTTGATAAATGCTAGATCTGCACATGGAACAGTAAATTTATTATAGAAATATCATGAAATGACTCCAGTGACAGTGTGTCATTAGCAATACATTTGGATTATTTCAGGCAGGAATGGACACCTGAGAAGAACCACCAACGTTCCATAAGCTAGCTGGATAACTTCCTCGCATTCAAGAATCCCAGTCCCAGTCAGTATACAAACGCACAGCGGTGAGGGACAAGTGAATTGAAGTCAACATCCTTAACCACTCAGCCACAGACGCCAGTAAATTCTAATACATAAAAGTTGATATACTTATACTGATCTAAAAGGAGTATGAATGGATATGAACACTCACATCTAATGCTGCATTTAGAGCTTTACTGTGCTCGAAATGTTTGAAATATTTATCATATTTCGCTAGCTGCTCTTTCTTCCGGTGCTCTACCACATAATCATCCTGAAAAACAATGTAAGACAATGTCATGAGCTTTTTATACATCCCTTATTTATATAATGGACCTGTCCAGCTTACAATTTGGAACAGTTTTATGTTATTCAAAGAGTACATTTGTATATAAGAAAAGACTGCACTGCTAGTTTGAGGGATTAAATATGAAATAATGAATTTAAGCCTTATTCTCAAGAATCTATGTAACCGTCTAGCTCTGCTTCAAATTTGGAACAATCCATTAAAAGTTTATCAGATTTCATTACGAAAACACAAAAATTAAGCTACAATTGATACAGAGCCTTGTCAGTCTTTCTCTGTACTGGTAGCAAAGGGTGATCACTCTAGTTTCATCAGGTCCAGGGCTTGAGTACTTAACAAGAGTGAATACAGTCAGACTTTACAGATATGCAGATGGGTCTTGCCATGTACTGCTCGCATATCCTTGCCTTCTGGTAAAATGTGCTCAGAACATTTAAGATGCAGGCTTTAGATTAAACGCCGGTGTTTTTTCAATAATCAAAGAATAAATCATTTGAATTGCTATTTTATTTATTCAATTTATTTTATAATAACAATTTCACGCTATAACAATGATATTCTCGTAGACGATAACAACAAGATTGATAAATAAACGACATCAATGTAATTTACCTTATTAGGTATAATAGTCTTGCCGCGAAGACCGTATCTAAACGAGACCGTCTTTTTCTTCGGTTTCTTCACTGTCACCTCATCATCCGGTTTTCTTCTTTGTAGAGATAACAACCCTTCCACTGTACCCACAGCCAGTAAACTGTCATCTTTCTGTAAATATATCACATACATTTTTTGGAGCTCCGTTATTAATAATAAGTAATTTGTAATGTTATTGTAATATGGGGACTTTCCGTCTATACTTAGGTGCTCCTCAGCGCATCGTTACAGGCACGAGCGGGTACAACAACAATATGCAAAGTAGCTGGATTATAGTCAACTTCCTCACATGAAATAATTCAAAGTTCTCCTCGGTTGAAAAAGACTTTACATGCCCCTTTGTGCAAAGTTTCAGCCACAATCAGACTACAAAGAAGGACCATCCTCCTTCTCTTGGGCAACGTCTTCTAGACCAAAACCTCTTCTAGAGCCCTCTTGCAAAATGTTTGTCTTTTTTAACACCAATTTTAACACATCGTTTTTGTACATATAGTGTGACCTTAAAGGAATAAAAAAATAAAAAAATTCATAATTATATAATAAATATTAACAATTTAATAATTTATACGTACATTAACGCCTAGACTAAGTATCGCACCAGGGTAGTCTAATGTATGCACAACTTGGTATGTACCAACATCATAAATCTTTACGTGCCTGAAATCAAACAATACAAAAATAAACATGAAATTAAGTGTAAAACAATTGGATTGGTGCTAGCAGAGTTTATGAAATTAATTTATGAAGGAACATCTTCAGTAAAGGTATTTTTTTTTTAATTTATTGTTTGTTTTGTAGAGATTATGTACAAATAAAAAACAACAACATTTTTGCTTAAAAAGAATCAACCAGATTTTTTTTTTTCACCAAAAGCGGCTTTCTAAACACTTTGCCCCCCCCCCCTCCCCTCTCAACGAACTTGAAATGAAAACATCTTCACCTCTTACATATATCTATAACATCATTCAAAACACATTATGAACAATTTTAAAGTGAGAAAATTCTCATTAAGCCTGTAAAACAATAAACCCTGCTAATATAAAGCGCAATCACAACTTTACTAGTGAAAAACATAATAAATTCTTGTATAAACTCCCCGCAAGGTGTAATTAAATTAATTTCATAAACTCCGCTCCCGCCTACCCAATTTTTTCCCCCTGCTTCGTCAAATTTCTTTTATTCTACTCCACGACGAAATAACTAATTTCCATTTTATCATTCATTTGGGACAATTCAGACTAATCCCTTGGAATTAAACGCTGCAGTTTAGAGAACGTACGCGTGCCATTATTTTCTGCCATGCACCTGCTGTTTTTTGTTTGTATGCATTTATATGTTTTCATAAAAGCAACAAAACAAAAAATAAAAAATTCAGTATCTTCTTAACGGTTAACGTAAAGTGAATAAAAATCTTGAAATAATTAAATATACGCTGTACGAATAAAACGAAGAACATTTTATAAATGAAATAATATCATTTGTTCCTCATCCAGGGATTATAAACTTAATCAGTGACAGTCGTATATGATAAAATACCGCATTTTTTTATCCAAAACTTTTGATAGTTTGTTATGAAATCCGGAATATTGCCGATTCCATAATGAACCAGAAGTCTTAAATGAGCCGCGTCATGACAAAACCAACATAATGGGTTTGCGACCAGCATGGATCCAGACCAGCCTGCATCAGGATCCATGCTGTTCGCTATCAGTTTCTCTACTTGTAATAGAGTTGGTAAGCGAACAGCATGGATCCTGATCAGACTGCGCGGATGCGCAGGCTGGTCTGGATCCATGCTGGTCGCAAACGCACTATGTTGGTTTTGTCATGACACGGCTCAAATGTGAAATACAGTAATATTTCCTGTAATTACACAATAAAAACAAACAGTGTCTCACATTATAAGAAGAAAAAAAATAAAATCGAAACTAAAATGTACGCAAAAACGAGTTCCAATTGCCCAAGACTGTAAATGATTAACTTTTATAATCCAACAAAAAATGCTTTATACATTGTATGTATTAAAAGGAGTTTAATAAACCTAACTATCAAAATACTCGGAGCATTCCCTTTCATCACAATGGGAGGGGAGGGGTGGGGGAGAGGCAGACAGGATGGGGGGGGGGAAGGGGGGTAAACAAAACCAAAAATAAAAATTACAATGCATCATCTGCAAGTTCGTTTAATTCCATTAATCACATATTTCCACGAGAACCATAAAACTTTCATCATTTTATAAAAACTACCCAGAAACGAGCTGCGATTTTCATTTTTTTCGAGATTTTTGTTTTTTTCCCCCCGTTTATTATGTTTTTCTCTTCTATATCTACGGCATATGATTGAGTACAGTTGTAATTCAGGTGTCAATTTTCCACGATGATTTACGAGACAACAGATGAGTGCTGTATCTAGTTATTTCACTTCAAGTTTATTTCTCTAATTCCATCCATCACTAAATGCTTAATTTCCTGAATTTGGCACTTTTATGATCCCATGTTTGTAAATATACTGGCACAAAAACATTCAATACTTTATAATAAAAGATTAGCGCTCAGGAATCATTTTTAATATACACATGGAAATTAATACATTACTGTAAAAACAATATCATTAACATGGCATTTAAGGAAATTTAGCCTATTTCACTGTTTATTTATTAAATTTTGGTTGGTTGGTTTTTATGCAGATTTTAACATATTTTTGGCTATATCTCAGCGGTTAGGCCACCTATCCTGCTTAAATCCTGGACAACTATCCTGTAATTAGCCAAATTCTCCGCAAGTGACCAACTATTTATCTCACATGATTTCTAAATCTGAACACATATTCCTTTAAATTTAATAGAACAAGAGATCCATAATGGCCCTGGATCGCTCACATGAGAAACATTGCTAGAAAGGTTAAAGCCAGTAATGGGGTCACACTGGGTTTATCAATTTTTCTTCAGGCTGCATAATCGTAAAATAAGCGACCCCAAGAGCATGATTTATAAAACATTTTAAGATGTCCACTTGGCAATGCTACATGTAAAATTTTTCATATATAAGTCTTTATCAATTAAATGATCCCTAAGGTGTTATGACAATGCTACAAGCCAAATAACGAAGGTCTAAACAGTTTTTTAAAAAGGACTTACATTTATTTTCCTATAAAAGCCTATGGTAACTTAGTGACCCCTAGGGCAAGGCATATTTGACCCCAGGGACATGATTTATATAACTTTTGAAGAAGAGCACAAAGTGAGATATAACATGCCAAATATCTAGCCTTTTGGCATGTAGTTTCTGAGAAGAAGATTTTTAAAGATCTAAATTTTAAAGTCTATTTTAAACTCCTGTCACCTACTTATGCATCAGAATGGAACCATTTATACAACTTTATAACAGGACCACATAAGGATTATTCCTTTAAAGTTTGGTCAAAATCCATCAAGAATTTTAGGAGGAGATGTTGATTAAAGGAATTGTGGATAGTGACAAACAACAAATGATGGATGAATACACTGCCATCACAAAAGCTCACCTCTGAGCTCTTTGGGCTTAGGTGAGCTAAAAACAATAGAATGTTTCAGTTTAATAACAAGATAAATTACAACATGTGAATCAACTATAATATCAAAAGGCTGAAATATCTGAACAGGTTTCTTCACAAAATTCATCCAAATTAGATAGTCGTAATTCTTGTTGTGAAGTATACTTTCAACGTAGTATAGAAACAAGGTACTGGTACATACATCGTTCATTGCCACAAAAAAACAACAACAAACAAAAGTGCTTTTTCAATTCCATGGCCCATTAAGCCACTTAAACAATACTTAATAGATAAAATGGGGGCTGTTTTTATTTCCTGGAATTAAAGATATAAAACCTCCCAATTGAAGAGTCACAAATTTATGGGGGACAGGTGTCAATTAGTCGATACATGAAATTTCCATTTATATTTCGACAGTCATAATCATTTGATAGCTTCTGATGAGTCGATTAACGTAACAAATAAAAAAATATTTGACTGATCTTTCTTACGTCTTAATTACCATTCTCAAGCCTTTTTTCCCCTCCCGTTTTGAATCTGCGTGCGGCTAATAGTATCATTTGATAACAACCGTTTGGAAAGAAAAAATAATCGTGGAAACATCGTTACGAAACATGTAAAAATATTCGACAAAACACAATAATGTATTATAACATATTTCAATATCAATTGTAAAATATTCATAAGAAATTATGAAATAACAGATGTTTCCATTTAGATCTAGAGTGTATTACTATAACTCGTAATGTAACATCGGTAAGTTCTGACTTTCTTGAGTGGTGTGCATAAAGTGCTTTCACCATTATAACTGTTCAAAATGTGTTTTATATACTCCCATTCATTAATGCCATAAATAATCATACACAGAAAATAAAATGCAAAATATTATTACAATATACTATGGTATCATTTAGTGGTTTTGATCATTGAATGCCACATTATTAGAGCTTTATTTTGTGATTCTGTTTAGTAAATCATTCAATGGCATCATTATTATGGCATCATTTGTAGTTTTGATTAGTGAATGCCACATTATTATGGCATCATTTTGTGGTTTTGATTATTAAAAGCCAAATTATTAGAGCTTTATTTTTATGATTTTGATTAGTGAATGCCAAATTATATTTATTTCTGCTTCATTTTGTTAGATTACTGTATGCCATATTATTATGGCACCATTTTTTATATTGTTTATTGCACACTAAATTATTATGCCAACACATTTTAAAATAGAATTTTGTATGATAGATTATTACGACATTATTACGACATCCTTTATTGATAATGATTACTGAATGTCAGATTATGGCACTATTTTCACAGATTTTTATCTGTATTCAAGATTTTTCTGGTAACATCGTCAGTTACCCATGGTATATCATTCCGTACATCTATAGATAATGTAGTATGTACAGAATATATACCATGGGTAACTGACAATCATCAACTGATCTGGTACAAACTTGCTGACACCATTTTTTGTAATATTGGTTTCTTTATGCCGCATTATTATGGCACAATTTTGTGATGTGGCTGGATTTCAAAGGCACTATTTTTTTTAACAAAAATGGCTGACTATTAATGACACTTTTAATCATTATTAATTCATTTTCAACAGCACATGACTGTTAATACTCACTGGTCAATGTCAACAAGAAAGTTCATTGAATTTGAACTCCTATAATCCCCTGATGAATGTAGCATTTGATTGAAGCATCATTGCTAGAGTAAAGGATTGAACATCGGACAGCCAGAGAGAACAGGGGTGCTCAAATTTTGGTGCATGAAATGGTTACTGATTTATTCTCTCTATTACTTACTCCAAGCCATGTAAGAGAAAAAGCAGTTACGTAAATGCTTACTGAATGTATAACATCAAAGTAAATTCACCATAACCTAATTTATTTGCTCCCATAGCCATCGCAAATTTGTTTGGATGTTCAGACAAAATTAATGTATCCATGGGCAACACCTAGGCCCTAGGGCATTTTATTATATATACAACTGTCGCCCTTTGTGAAGGACATCTATGTTATAATATACATGTATATCAGTTTGTAAAATCAGTCGGTCTTGCAGTGAAAATATTGAGGCTATAGAACAACGTCAAATCTATATCCCTTCAA